GCCGCCACAACATGATCCACACGACCAAGCGATCGAAGTCTTTCTCTTGTTCGCAACATGCGTGCATAAGAGCGCGGTTGACCAGCCCTCCCCGCTCCGCGGCATGCACGTGCGACACCCCCCCCCTCCAGCTGCCTCTCGCCCAGTGGTTTTCGAGATTTCGGCTGCAGCCGGTGCATGCCATTTCTGCCCACAGCTCATTTTCCGCCAAATTCCCAAGATTCTTGTGCAGATGCATCACATCCCCCGCCGCTGTCCGCTGCACCGCGAACCTCAAAACATCGCTGCTTCTGCCCCGCCGTTTGACCGCCCCCCCAAACACCACCCGCGACTGCCAACCATGCGCGACAGCAGGTTACAAGGCGGCGCGCGCCCGGCGCCGCCGCAGCCCGACCGCGGCACGGCCGCGCGCGCCCGCCGCCCCGTCCCCGCCGCGGCGACCGCCGCTCAAGAGGCACGCTCACGCCTTGAGGGCGTACTTGCGGCTGGGGAAGGCCTGGGCCCGCTTGGCCTCCTTCACGAGCAGCTTGGACTGCTGCTCCTTGGTCAGGGCCCGCCGGATGGCGCGGGTCTTCTTTGTGCGGAGGTCCAGGGGCAGCAGGCTCTGCAGGGGGCGCAGGGTGGGGCGGCGGCCGAGGCACGACGAATGTTTGAGCAGCAGACTCACGCGCCGGAGGGCCGGAGGCCCAAGCGTGCCGCTGTCGCTGCCGCGGCCACGGCCCTCGCGCCGCAGCGGCGGCAGCGTGCCAGGCGTGCTCGCCGCCCCGCCCGGCCGTCGGCCGCTGCCGCACAAACAAATGCCTGCTGAGCGGGATGCCGGGCAGCCGGCTCGGAGCGTCACCCCGTCAGATCAGGTTTCCAGCACTAGCCCAGGATCCTAGGGTCCTAGCGCCCCGGGAGCCGCACCTTCCCCTTCTTGTTCTTGCCGTCCTCGTCGATCTTGCTCTTGAGCGCGGTCCGCAGGTTGGCGCGGTACACGGTCAGCACGCGCGCGATGCTCTTGCGCACCACCTTGCTGCGGGGGCGAGAGCGCGGGGCGCGGGGGCGGGGCAGAGGCGTGAGCAGCTGGCTTGGTGCGCAGCGGCGCAACCTGAAAAGGCAGAGAGTGTGTTGGTCGGGGAAAACGCTCCTGTGGCAATGCGCGCGTGCCATGCTTGTCGCGCCAGCAGATGTCACAGCACTGCCACGGGTGGTGGTTCTGATACACAGTAGTGTGTTGGTCGTTCTGACCAGCTGTGGCCGCCCCTGCTGCTGCCTCGTCATGGCTGTCGGCCGTGCCGGGCTCAAACACCGTGACAGTTCTGCTGCTGTAGCCTCATAGAGCTGCAGTGGCTGCCAACCGGCTGCAGGGCAGCTGCTGGGGAAAGACAAGCCGTTGCCTCTGGCACCGCTGGCATGAGTCACCCACAGTCACAAAAACAGCTTCTGGCTGCTGCCTGAGCCAAGCGGCCTGTGCCAGCAGCTGAGACAGATTGGCGCCGCGCCGCTTGATCGGCGGCCATCCCCTAAACGCTGATTCCTGATTGTGAGACAGCTGAGTGAGGCGCACACTGGCGGTGCCCGCTTTCTTCACCTCGTGCTCACAACCAGCTGAGCTGCCAAACCGCGCAGCTAGGTAGAAAGCAGTGGGGCTTCTGATACATGCGGCTGTGACCTGACCGTCACAACTCCAAATAGTGGCAAGCGCGATATGCAGGTGGCGCGGCGGCGCATGCAGCCGCGGCGTCGCTGCGCCGGCGCTCACATCTTCGAGAGCTTGTTGGGCGCGCCGCCAGTGACCTTGGCCACACGCAGAGCCGCCAGCTCGGCCTTCAGGTCCTTAAGCTGCGGAGAGAGGCCAAGCGAGAGGAGGCACGCTGATCGATTCTGCACGCATCACTGCGAGCCCTCGCCCTCAGCATCAAGAAGACAGTCTCACCTGGGCCAGCAGCTCCTGCTTGGACTTGCCCCGCAGCTCATGAGCCTTGATCCTCGCTGCGGGCAGCAAAGCAGCAGCCGGAGTGTCAGCTGGTGTGCCGCAGAACAAACCCAGGCGGCCGCATGGAGCAAGGCCTAATATTCACTGCACTTCAACATCCTCATCACAACGCGTTGCGCCGGCTGCAGAGACGGCAGCAGCCCGCCCTCCGTCCGCCGCAGCAAGCTAGCACGCGCACCCATCGTGTCTAGGCGAGAGTCTAAACTTCAAGGGCTACAGCGTGAAAAGAGGCAGAGGCACTGGTGCACTGGGAGGATGTTCGCGCTGCGCAGCGGCGACCTGGGAGACCGGGGGGCGGCGCAGTCCCAAGCAGTGCTGCCTGTGTGTTCTTGAGAGGTACAAATTATGTGGTGTCATGAACTTCAAAAGACACTATGGGCGGTATATTGGTGCCTGCTACGGTCCACAAGTTCTCAACATCACAATGAAGCAGCTTTGATTTCATCCACGACCCTTGCAATACACCTTCACCACGCTGCCACGACGTCGCGGCACCCACTCCTAGGCGCCTGATGCCCTCTCAGGACTTGTGTGGGCATTTGGATATCCCCCTTGATGATCGTCTGTAACGGCTACGGCGGCTGAGCGTAGGAGAGCTGTCCGTGAGATGCCACCCAGCTGAGCTGCCCTCGCGCAGCTGCAGAGCGGCGCTTGACCGAGCTGTGCTTTTGATGGTTGGTGCATGCGCCAAGCCAAACCATCACCAGGAGTTTGTCTTTCACAACTGCCAGCAATAGATCTGGCGTCGTGCTGCCGGCTGCATCATGGATATACGCGTCTGCCTTATGAATCACGAGCGGCACAAAATCCACATATGATCCGCGCTGCAATCGCGACGGCTCAATCCTTGCGCGCCCGCAGAAGCTCGGAAGGTGCCTTCAGCTTCCCAGCGGTAGAGGCACAGCTGGCTTAATCCTGTTGTCGTTTGATGTCAGTGGCTTGCTGCCCACGCCACTTGCGACATGATCACCAAGAAAACCCCGGCTCATAGCAAGCTTGTGTCGTACATCTCTGATGGGCCCAGGGAAGGTAAGCCAGTGGCGAGTAGGCGGTGAAACCCCGGCCTAGCGCACGCACGCAGAGTAGCAACAGCAGTTTTCCATCCCCACACATCAAGGTGGCCAATGTTGGCAGCTGAGATGCGGAAGGCGAACGAATGGAAAGACCGGTTGCAGTCGCGTGCCATCAGCCGTGAAGGACTTGAGGAGTCTGGGCACATCACATGTTGATGCGTTGGTTTGACCGAGGTTGACTGTTGATTGGCAGGCTGCAGCGCACGCCCACATATTCAGGCATGCAATAACATGCCGTCCCTCCTCTAGCTGATCCCCAGTACCCTAGCAACATGCCTTGATGCAGTGCCCTGTGCCCGAGTGGGGCGCCTGCGCATCTCAGGTGCATCCGTGGGTGCAGCAGCACCTCTTTACGCTCAGAAATATCCTTGCAATGACTCCAAACGACGGCTTCAACTTGACACAGGCTGCAAATCCATTCCGAACCTCGGTCACACATCTCCTCATTGCAACAGAGCTCTAATGCTGTAAGCGGTACGCAAGGAGGAGAGCTGCCCCGATTGAATGTAAAAACTCGAATGCCTCTCGTCTTCACGGACGTGCAGCGCGTATATCGGACAGTCTTCGTATCGCATTCTGAGCAAAGTAACTCCGCGCACCCCCTGCCTCCGCGGAGGCTTAGTCCACTACGAAGTTGAATAAGACCGTAGAACCTGTGTTTACGCAATTTCACCCGTGCCAACGGCAGGGTTTTTTGTGCTTTGCGGCGTCTGGCTGATCACAGTGCAGTCTCCAGTGACGGAGCAGGTACAACAGTCAATTCTCCAAAGAAAGCATTTCAAACTGTTTTCCATGTCAAGAGTAGCGGCCCGCGCACAAGCGTGCGCAATGGCGCGGGCAGCGCTTCTGCTCGTGCTCGTGCTGGGCATGTGCAGCTGCGTGCGCGGCCGCCGCGGCCGCTCCCTCGCTGCAGCGCCAGCGCCGAAGGAGCTGCACATCGTGCACATCAACGGTGGGCGGCGGCCAAGGCAGCCATAACAGGCGCATTGGGCGGGGGTGCAACCTCGTGCCGCAGCTTCTTCGGAGGTTCCATGGGGCTCATGTGGGGCCTCACCATCAACAGCCTGGGTCAATGAGGCGCACTCTGCCGCATCGTCCTGCCCGCATCCCCCTGTAGCCCTGCCTTCCCGTGTCACGCCCGACCAGATCGCGGCGAGCGCCTCCACACCTCATCAGCCCCATCTCCTCCATCCACCTCCCAACCCCGTGCCCAAAACGGTTGATGCTCTTTCAGACGTGCACAACCGAATCGAGCAGACGTCGACTTCCAGCACAACGTGCTCCGACGCCCAGGCCGCGAGCGGTCTGTGCCTGGGCGGCTGGGGCCGCATCAGCTCCTATGTGAACGCAGCCAGGAAAAAGGCGGCGGCTGCCAAGGCCGCATTCCTGTTCTTGGTGAGTGTGCATCGCTCAGCTGGTTGCCTGAGCTCGCCGAGGCGGCACGCCGGGAACAGGAGGAGCGTCTGACCGGAGAGCAAGGGGCGTAGGCAGGGGCCGAGCGGCGAGGGCTGGGCCGGGTTAGGCTGGAGGCATGAATCGCGCAGGAAGCCCTGCGGCGGAAGAGAGCAGTTATCGGATCTGGGTTGGATCTGGGTGGCTAGGGGGCCAAGACTTGTGCATGTGTATGTGCAGACGCCTGTGGCCGCCCTTTCAACAGTGTTGAGGCAGCGGCGCGAGCGCCCGCAGCCCAGCAGGCGGTGCGCATCTCATCGCTGCCGAATGGACGCACCCTCCTCAGGACGCTGGTGATCAATTTGACGGGACCCTGTGGGATGTGGTGTACAAGGGCGCGGCAACCGCCAAGATGCAGAACATCGTCAAGCCCGACGTCATGGTGCGCTTCGGGGCCTTCAACACGGTGCCGCATCGCATGTGAAATGGGTGTGCGCTCGGGTCGCCTGTCTCCGTCGGCTGTCGCCAGCCCCTCGCAAGCTGCACGAGCTGACCTGGCAGCACGCTTGGCAGCTTGCGCTTTCGCAATTTGGCACGCGACCGCTGCCCGCTGCTTCGCGACACTCCATCACGCAGACCATCGGAAACCATGTGAGCGCGCCTGTGTGCGCGTCCTCAGCAGGCGGCGCTGGCAATCAAAGCGGGGAGCGGCACATGCGGGCCGCACAGGGTTCCCTCAAGAATTTGCACACGCACGGCCTCGACTCGGCCGGCCTCGCGGGCAGCGTAGGACTGCTTGGGGCCGCTTCGACCGATTCAGCTGCCTGTCAGGCGGTCTCCGAAAGTATGTTGACCGCCGTTGCCAGGTTCCCTGCTCGACATTCATGCCGCCCGGTTGCCGCGTGTTGCTGCCTGGTGTTGACCTGCGCAGGAGTTCACGTTTCCTCCCGACATCTTGAAGGCCTACATCGGAAACATCACATTCCCCATGCTTGGCGCCTGGTGAGTGCCGCTGTGGCTCGCCACTCCAAAATGGCGCCACCATGGATTTCTGGAGAATCTCGCTCCCTTCCCAGAAGCAGCAATACAAAAAAGCCGGTGCAAGTGTTTATCTGAACAGCGCTGCGCAGGGCGATCACCAACCATTGCCTCCCTTCAGTGTGCAGCTGTCAGATTACGTTGTCGTCCTGTTGCTCTTCAAGGCACGCGCCATGTTGCTTGTCGCCCCTCCCACCTTTTTCTTGCACGCGTGTGCAGCAACACTGACACCAGCGACGAGCCGCTGCTCAAGGGCTTGATCCAAAAGTGGAAGGTGCAGTGTTAAGGGCAAATGCCCTGCTTGGCCACACTGCAGAGCCGACATGTGTTTTTTTGCAGCGCCGGCTTGGCAACACAACGTGGGCATGCTGCTCTGGCTTTGCTGCTGCCGCTACCGCTGCACTGGATCGTGTTTCTGCGCCCAACTCTGAAGCATGCGTCTGTTTCTTCGCGGCTGTTCCCCCATTGCATCCCGAGCAGGTGTGGCAGTTCGGCCCGTACAAAGTGGCCGCAGTTGGCTGGCTGACCCCTGACGCTTCGTTCACGGCGGCCAACATCGGAAAGGTAACGGGAACGAGCGGGTGTGAAAGTGGCGCGGCCAGGCGCGCTACAGGGTCTGCTTGGGCAATGGTCTTTGAAGGAGCGCCATCCAGGGCCCTGCCAACGCTGGACAGCTGCACACGGTCCCCTCATCCCCGCCCACACGACCATCTATGCAATTTTGGCTGCAGCTGCAATCTTAGACAGTTGCCGATGCCTGCCGGTCGCTCGGCACAGCCTCTGCAACCAACACAGCAATGGCATAACTGAACTTGACACCAGCACACGGCAACCACCAAATACATCCTTCTCAACGCAACGCTTGATACTTTCTACGTTCAATTTTTTTCAGGTCAAGGTCACGCCAGTCAACGCAGCGGTCAAACAGTGCATTGCTGATCTGAAGAAGGCACACCCTGATGTCCACTTGATCATCGGCATGTCACACACAGGTGTGTGCGCGCGTGCGTGTGCGCGTGCGTATGTGTGTGTGTGTGTGTGTATGGGTGTGCGTGCATGTGTGTGCGTGCGTGCATGTTGCACGCCAATTCATTGAACATGTGCGCATTGTATCCGCGACCCCCTCCAACAATCAGCACGCGGCGCAAGACTCACCCTGGGCCAACATCAGCGCAATCGCATGCTGGCCTGCTGCACCCCCTTCAACACATGCACCACATCAAACATTTCCATGCACGCAACCGAATAATCTTCCTTTTTTTCTTCCCTCTCTCCCCCCCAAGGCTACCACCCAGATATTGAGACCGCCAAACAAGTGCCAGATCTGGATATCATCATCAGCGGTGCGGGGACAAGCAATGTCACACATTCCATAATTTCAAAAAAAACAAGATGAACAAGGAGGGGTTCACAAAACACAGGATGTTGGTCATGATTGGCTGGGTCAAGGTGGAGGAGCGGGCCGCAGGTGCCCCTCGTGAAAGAGGTCCTGATTGGTGCTTCAGAGTGCACAGGGAGGGCCCTCGCTGCTGCTCTGGGCACACAGCGCCTGCTGTGCCCGCAGCACTCCCAGATTTCACTGCGCCTGCATGGCGAAGCAGGCTGCCTCAAGTCAGGCGGGACAGCCAGAGATGCCGTGAGGCGCCATGCTGAGTGGCATTTGCCTGTGCCCCCCGCGCAGGCCACTCCCACACGTTCCTCAGGACCCCCTCCAAGGTCGGGCCCATCTTTGACAAGACCGTCAACGCCACCGGTGATTACGCTCCCTCTCCCAAACCCGACACCGCTGCAGAGCCAAAGTGCACTGAGGAAACTGGCAGCGACCCACCCGGCCGCGCCCTGCTACGCTTGCTGCCCCAGGCCCAACGCTCGCCTGGCGCGCACGGACGGCCGCAACACTCCTGCGGCACGAGCAAAGTGCACACGACCGCCTTGCGCCTCCCTGAACACCCGGATCCGCCTGCACCAATCTCGCACGCCGCAGACGAGACCTGCCTGAAAAAGCGGGCCTGCGACGAGCCTGGGGGCCCGTACCCCACTTATGTTTCCTCCCAAAAGTGCAGCGGCGTGGGCGCAGCCAAGACATGCACCAACAAGACGATCCCGGTCGTCCAAGTTTACTACGCATCAAAGTGGGTCGGAGGGGTCGGGCGTGCGTCTAAGCGGCGGTTTTGAGCGGAAGCTGCTTGGCACAGTGGCGTGGTGGCGACAGTTGGCTGGCTGTGTGCCCGCCCGCCGCGCCACGCTGTCGACGCACAACAGCAGCAGCTTAACTTGGCAAGCTGCCTCGCTCTCTCCCCCTCAGCCGACCTCGCCCATCTTCCCACACGCACTGACACCTCCACGCCCGCTCGCGCCCCCTTTGACGCCTGGCTGCCCGCCATTCACCCCACCAAAACCTCAAAGGTACATAGGAGATGTGACGCTGGACCTCGCCACCAAAAAGGTCACCGCCGCCAAGCCCGTGCTGCTGGGCGGCGACAACTCCACGAGCCCGTGGCCGCAGGTGAACGGTCTACATGTGATGCTGTCTGCCATCCGGCCGCCATCGTCGCCGACACACCACCAAGTCGGCGCTGCAGTTGATGCGTCGACAGGGCCTCGGCACAGGCCACCTGTTCTGCATCCGCGGGGCGGATCGAGGTCTCTGTTTCATTTCTGCCATTGCCGTGGCGGGCCTGCACTGATCTGACACTTCTGATCTGATCTGATCTGATCTGATCTGATCTGATCTGATCGCAAATTGATATGTGCAGGATCCGGTGATCCTCGCGGAGATCGAGAAGCTCTCAGGGCCGGTGACGGCCCTGGAGAAGAAGCCCGCAGGTGCGGCCTGTGGATTGAGTCACAGAGACAGACCCGCGCGTCAGTCGGAGCGGGGGCTGGAGGCTTGCAGCTTGGAGGGCCAGCGCTGAGCTGCTTAGGGGCTAGGCACATGCGGCATGCACACGCCGATGCGGATGCAAACCCCCAGAACTTTGTTGCACAAGTTCTACAGGGAAATATTGGCTGGCCCCTGGAAACCACCCGAGCCCAGCAACCAAGCCGCCGCAAACCCGCCAACCAAGCTCCCATGCCGCCTCGCAAATCATATCACATTTGTCCCGCCAGGCAAGACATCCGTGGTGATGATCGGCGGCCGTCCTGGGCGCGTCGCTGAGACCAACTTTGGCAGTTACCTCGCTGACATCATGGTGAGTCGCATGAAACGGCCCTGCGCCTAACGTGCTGCTTTCGAAGTCATTGCTGCTGCCGCTGTAGTCATGCCGCTGACCTTCGGGAGCTGCAATCGGCGTCGGACGTCTGATGCAATCGCTGCATTGCGTCTCGTTTTTATCCTTGGCACACGAGAGAGCAGGGATCCTTGACGCCTTGCCACAACATGCATGCCTGCTCGTCTGCACGGCGTGGTGCACACCATATGAGGCCGCACAATTCTTGTGCTTGTTGTGGGGTTCTTCTTTGTCTCCCCATGGCAGGTGAACCATGTGAAGAGCCTCCCCCACTTTGTACAGAAGAACGGCCCCGTCACCATCGCGCTCATCAACTCTGGATCCATTCGTGCTAACATCGAGGTGCGTGGAACAGCCGCAGGCTTGACTTTCAGGGTTGACTGGTGCGACACCGCCGTGACCTTCAAACCCTAAGGAACATGGATTGGCTATGGGTCGTACACCCGTCAACTGGCCGTCCACTTTGCACCCGCCCGTCCTACACCGCCGTCCACCCTCATCCCGATCCAAACGACTCCCAAAACGCACCACAACCGACCTGTTTCCTTCCTCATGCCGTACGCCCCACGTCAATTCCCCAAACTCACCCACGACCGTTATGTGTCCTTCACAGCCTGAGCTGGTGAACTATGGGGACGTCCTCACAGCCCTGCCCTTCAGGAACCTGCTGGCCGTCAAGGTGGGGCAAACTTCTGAGAACAAGAAGCAGCAAGGGCGCAGGCAGTGGGCAGCTGCCAGCAGAGGGACCCACCCACGCGCTTTACGCGCGTCAGCGGCCCTCCGCTGTGGCGCGGCGGGCTCATTGTCCGGGGGCCCGGGCCCCGCCGGGACGGCGCCAAAGCCCCGCTCTGCCCCTCGCGGCACCGCGCGGCCAGCGCTGCTGCGGCGCCAACGCCGCGGTCGCCCGCACGCCGCAGCTGTCCCGCTAGCCCCCATGT